TTATTTCTTGAACAATAAAAAGTGTTACCTGGCACACTCCAGGGAAACTCCCTGGAGTTTACATCAAATCAGGACTGGTATTTGGATGGTAATGGGATCAGGACTGTGACAGGATTAAGGGCATTGTGTCTCACTCTTAATCCTTTTCACTTGTGTTTTTCCCCCATCAAATCACATCTTGGGTGATTGCATAACTCCAACATTGTATCATTACATAACTGCATGGTCCAGCCAAGTTGACACATGTTTTGGACAAGCATAATTTAATTCAAGACAACAACTGTATATCTGTATCTGTCTTATCTGTCTATAGCTATAGTTTTGTGTCCTTTTTACAAACTCCCATAAATCCCTTCATTTTGTTGCTACTCTAACCCTTTGTCAAAATCACGGTGGATACAAAACTTAGATCAGAGTAAGGGTTTTCTATACAATTCCATTCCATCAGGATTATTTTGTTACAAGCAAAAGTGGCCATGTGATATACTAAATGCTAATTGCTGTTTTTAAATGTTTAAATCATGCCAAACAAATCATGTCTGTGTCATCCAGGGTTTCTTGTTAATATTTTCCTGAGTACTTGGATTGGGATAAAGGGCTTGTACTATGCACTTTTTATAAATGAATAAATAGAAAATGTTAGTAACAAAACAAAAAATCCTTTCCATTAGAATAAATCCGTCTATCTCAAAGAGATGCTGATTTTAAAAAAATGAAAACAAAAACATTCTCTTCATTTTTGAAATACCAGCTTGTTTTTAGACATCTAATTTGTTATGAATACACATACTTTTTCTAACTGTTAACTTTTTCTGATTTTTTTTATAAACAAGATTCTTTGAATGTTGCTGACTTTTTAGTGTTATTTTGGAGCCAAATAGGGCTGCAGGTTGAAGATCTTCACTTTTTGTATACTGTTGACATGCCAAAAAAGTATTTTATTTTATTACTGTCTGCCTTGTGTATGTACAACTTTGTCTTTATGAAACAAAAGTACCAAGCACCATGGGTTTTCTTCCATTCTCTGTGTTGCCTGTGACATACAAAAAATTAATATATTCCTTTTCAGCTTGATTTGAAGCATACTGAGATTTTTGAATTAGACCTAATTTTAGTAATTGCCTTATCTTCTCTTAGGTTTTTATATCCTGTGCTCAAAGTTTTGGAGTGTAATTAAACTCTTCCTTCAGAGCACAGTGGAAAAAGAAAAGTATAACTTCCAAACTGCAGGCCAATCACTTCAACTATTATGTTCCTTCACTGTTTGTTCTTTCAAACAAAAACAAATAAAAGATGATACAGAATGTTAATAATGGAAAAAATTAGTTGTGAGGTACATGAGAATTTTACTGTCTTTGTAATAATTATGTCTATTTGAAAAGTATTCTAAAAGAAAGTTTAATTCATACATATTTTAAAGATAAGTGCTACATTTCTCACAAGTCATGAAATAACAATGTACTTTATTGGTTCTTTCAACCTAGTTAATAGTAAAACTTTGGATCAGCCTTAGAACATTATTTAGTCACAGATCCTTTGATCTTACACAGAAAGCAATTACGTAGCTCTCCAGTACCTATGTGACATCACACTATTGTGGTCTTCTCAGATCTGATGTGGCCATTGCAGCTGGACTGGGAATGCTTACTCCTTAGTAGTTTGCCTTGAGTTTTAAGTCTTGAGTGAAAATTGTCCACAACACTAGTACTGGATTGAGGGAACAACATTGACCAAATCTTCCTGAATTTCACCTGTGTTGTGCCCTTGGATTCTTAAAGGCTCCAACTCTTCATCAGGTTCATGATAGTATCCCTTAGACTTAGATAAGAAGTAAAAGAACCTGCCGTGACACGTTTGAAGACGAAAGGTTTCTGTGTTGCATTTTCCTTCTTCATTGTTTCTCTCGCCATCATTTTACAGTGTCATCATCTCAGCTTTTTGTTTTTAGGGTTCTGTTACAAAGAACAGATGCTATCTCTGGAAAATGGTTGTAGGTTTGGGGTGACTTCTTCCATATAAATTGATAACTGGCTACTTCAATTCCTGCTCTGTGAGAGTACAGATTCTGTTCATAGAAGTATCATCCTCTCTTTCCCTTTGAGACAAGGCTTGGAAAACTCAGGTTACAAAACCTTTGTCAAAGTAGAGTTATATTTGAGGGACAGAGATGCTTTGGGATATTTAACAACAGCTACGTAAATCTGAGCAGAATTGAATCTTTAAAATACAAAAAAAAAAGGAATTCTCACATTAGGTTACACCCACTGTTAGATAGTGAAGCATCTGCTGGCATAATGACACATTATACAATTAGAAAAATGAACTTTCCGATTAAAATTTTGACTGAGTTGTTCTTAAGATAGCCAATATGTAATATGTTCTTTGTACAATTGTGAAAATTATTCATAGCTCTTGTCAAGATTGTGGTTTTGATTTTGTTTGTTTAAGTCCTATGGCAGATGTTAGCAATACATTTAATTCAGGTATTTTACTCAATGGCTTTTACTTCCATAATGAAAAAGTAGATTTTGTCTGTGACATGTAAAACTGGAGCCAGATGGAATCAGTAGTTAAATTACAGTGTTTCCTTTAAGACAATTTGAGTTTGGTTAGGAAAGGAAAGCTTAGAATGCTGGAACGTTGCTGAAATATGCTGTTTCATTCCCTCCATAAAGACCTCAATTTTGCAACTTTGAATTCAGAGGTCATCACATTTATAGATTCTGAGTACTAGAGAGGTTAAAGAACCAGGTAAACATGTGGCGGCTTTCTGGGGACCGAGGCCCTGTGTCATAGAGCAGTGGGACATCGAATCGTGGGTCTTCCGGGCACATAACCCACTCCGTACCAGAGGGATTTAATGTGGAAATCCCACTTGGTGAACTGGACTCAACTTCAACCATACCTGTACCCTTAGGGCTTTAAGACTGAAATTACATGTTGTTTGAAGAAGCAGAGCACAGCTCTACCAAGATTATTGAACTGTAGGCAGGTGGATCATCGTTTGCTTAGTATTTCAATGCCCTACTTGCTGTTTTAAGATATATATTATTTTGGCACACCTGTGACTGACATTGTCAGTGAATATTACTGTAAGTTTAGCCTATCCACCAACTCTCATCATTTGTGCAAATAGTGTCCAGTCACATAAGGACTTACTCTATACAAGTACACAAGTGATATGTAGTTAGCCTACATATTGAACACTTATTTACTCCCCCTTTCTCAATAGTGTTTTAAAAATTAGTACCCTGGACTAATTGATGACATTATAAACAGAAAAGCTCTAGGGAGATGATCGATAAGATTCTCTACTACAAGTTAACGAGGATGTCTCGAAGGTGAGTCAGAGGCAAGTGAAACAAAGACAAAAACATAGATTCAGGAACGAATTTTGACCATGCACTTAATCCTAGCTCCAGTCTAAGAACAACTAGTTCTTATGACATGGCCCTGCTCAATGCTCCCCCTTATAAAGCAAGCATAGAAGATACGGTGCAAAGTGTGGTGAAGAAATTAGATGGTGCCTGGCTATCAGATAGAATAGTGTCTGAGGTCTTAAAGGCTTGTTTCCACACATGCAGCCATCCAAGTGAGATCACATCAACTGAGTCCACATGGAAGAAGCACACCAATATCCATGACCCAAGGATTGTAACATAACCCAAAGCTGGAGGAGGGAACAGTATCCGAGCTTAAATTGTGAGATTCTGGTGTGGAGAAGGCAATGGGTGACAGTGGAAACCTAAAATACATATGCAGGATCTACACAGGGAATTCGTCTCCAGTGATTTCCTTCTAATCATCCTTGAGGGATGGGAATAACTTGGTTGTCAGACAGAGACTATTGGAGAGACGACTATAATACATTAAAATTTGACTTGAACGGTTAAAACTTTGTCACTTGATCTTCCTTCTGATACACTTGGGGCTTGAGCTGGTTTTTAATATTTTCTGTGTTTTTTTTCATATTTGGGGTTTGTTCTATTCTATTTTGTCATTATGAGTAGCTTTCTTGAATCTTTGTTAGGTGTTTTTCTATGTTGTGTAGTATATGAGATCCACCATACGTAAACCTATAGAGACAACAACTGGAATAAGGGTTCTTAGGGAATATGGAGGAGGAGGTAGCAGAGGAGGATGGGGGTTACAGTCAAGGAGTTCAAAAAGAAGAAAATGTTTTTAATTTTGGTAGCAATTATACAATACTGCTTGATGTAATTGAACTATGGAATGGTATGATGTCTGTATTAGCTCCTAATAAAATAGTTTGGAATAAAATAGAAACCAAAAAGGTAATTGCTTAATTTTGTATTTAGTGAAGATTCCAAAATAACTGTTCTTTTTATTGACATCTCCCTAAGTATGTACTTAACATTTTCATTGGATTCATTGAAATCCAATCTTTAAAACTGGGTTGGGTTTTTTTGTTGGTGTTTTTTTTTTGGTGGGGGGCGGGGGGTTGCTTGTTAAGAGTTACTCTGGTCCAGGACAGATGATCCCTTCAGGACCAGTGCTGAGAGTGGCGATACTGGGAGGGAGGAAGGTGGGTGGGTTGGAAAGGGGGAACCAATTACAAGGATCTACATATAACCTCCTCCCTGGGGGATGGACAACATAAAAATGGGTGAAGGGAGATATCGGACTGTGTAAGATATGACAAAAGAATAATAATTTATAAATAATCAAGGGTTCATGAGGGAGGGGGAGCAGGGAGGGAGGAGAAAAAATGAGGAGCTGATACCAAGGGCTCAAGTAGAAAGCAAATGTTTTGAGAATGATCATGGCAGCAAATGTACAAATGTGATTGACACAATGGATGGATGTATGGATTGTGATAAGAGTTGTACGAGCCCCAATAAAATGATTAAAAAGAAGAAGAAGAGTTACTGTGGACTGATCTAATTTGTTAATTGGTTTTTGACACTTGTCACCAGTAAAGAGAATTTAACCTCTCTGTACAGCTTATCTTCACCTTAATTTCTTTTCTTTTATACCAGAATCCCAAGGACTGCAGCAAAGCAAAGAAGCTAGTGTGTAATATTAACAAAGGCTGTGGCTATGGTTGTCAACTCCATCACGTGGTCTACTGCTTCATGATTGCCTATGGCACCCAGAGGACGCTCATCTTGGAATCTCAGAATTGGCGGTATGCTACTGGTGGATGGGAGACTGTATTTAGACCTGTAAGTGAGACATGCACAGATAGATCTGGCACCTCCACTGGACACTGGTCAGGTAAGAAGCCTGTGCTGTCAGAATGGCTACATGACCACATTTTCAAATGTCTATTTTCCTTTTGCTCTGGATTTATGAAGATTATGTATTGCAGAGCTAACATCTAGGAGAACAATATTTAAGTGTATTTTATGATCTGTTTTATTTAATGACAGTGATAATACCACCATTCCATTTTTTCAATGCTTTCACATTATTGAGCTCATATGATTTTCATCGTTGTGTCCCATAAGGTAGAACAGTGGTTTTCAAACTTTAGCATGCATGAAAATGACCTGGATGACTTGTTAAAACACCATTTTCTGATTCAGTAGATTTGGGTATGGTCTGAGAATTTGCATTTCTGAGAAAGTACCCAGGTTCTGAGACTATTCTTTGGCAATCCCTGAGAATAGACTATGTGGGTAACCCTATCTTTATTTTACAAATGAGATCAGTAGAGCCTCACTTGTTTATGTGCTTTTAATTTCATTAATTCAGCAATCAGTTGATTAATCTGAGTAAAGGGAGCTTTGATGGTAGGTACAGTGGTTATGTGCTCAGCTGCTTTAACCCATCAGACTCTCTACAGGAGAAAAATTGTGGCTTTCTGCTCCATAAAGATTACAGATTTGGAACACTGAGAACACCATTCCCTGTCCTTTAGGGTCACTGTGAGTCTTAATCAATTTGAAGGCAACTAATCTATTGCTGTTTCTTTACTGGTGATCTTTAATGAAAATGTAAAGTTGAACTACATGTGTTAAAATCTTGCCTTTGTCACATTTTATTCTTGGGCAAGTTACTTACCCCAGGCCTCAATTTTCTCATCCATAAAATCAGAAGTAATAATTTATTTTCTTAATTGAATTATTGTTAGAATTTAGTTCAATCATACATATGTGTAATACATTTGACATAACACCTGATTTATAAGTTTACAATACTTTCCTATTGTTTTTAGATATCATCAGATTGATTTTGACTCTTAGCTACTCTCTATGACTGAGTAGAAGGGCCCAGTAGGGCTTTATTGGCTGTAATCTTTATGAACAGATTGCCAGGACTTTCTCCCTCAGAATCAATGTAATCATCACTAGCTATTGTTAATAGTTTTAATAGGTTTTTTTCCCTTCAGCAAATATCTACTGGTGCCTGCAGTATGCTAGATATTGAATTAAGGAAGTTGTTATCTAAATAAAGTAAACTTACTGTCTCTACACTCATGTCTTGGGAGGAGTCAAACTATTTCTACCCCCAAGACAAAACAAAAAGCTGAGGTGTTGGTTCACTGGCTGGATAAAAACGGTGGGACACCAAAGACATAGCCTCTAGTCATCCTTCAGGATTGGGGCTGAACCCACTCTCGTGTTATAATAACCAACCACATAAGATTAAAAAGGCAGTGTTTACCCAATGACAAAATCCAGAGCGGTCAGAAAGAAGGAGAAATGGAAACAGGAAACTGGGGAAACATGGGTTCAGTGAGGGTGTATCCAGGGGGCTGCAATGGATAAGTTAAATTTGGTGATTGTAAAACTATGATCTGCTCTGGAAACCTTTACCTAATTCACAATAAAAAGTTTTAAAAGAAAATAAAGTTGAAGCCATTTCAGTTGATATATTTCTCATGTGTGACTGGGCCCTTTTTCTCACAAATTAAAGCACTGTACTTGGGATTGGGAGTTTGTCATTGGAAAAGTGGATAACTTTAGTTGCTTTGTTTCCTTTTCCACTTTTAGAAAAAAACCAAAAGTTAAATAATACCCAACTCTTCACAGAAGTATTGAGAAACCTAAATGGGTAATTTCTGTAAAATACTTAAGAGTTGCTGTCTAAAGGGAATATATAGATGAAAAGGATCTTCTAATGTGATTATTTTTCTTCCTTAGTATAATTTAGAAGTATGTTCTTTTATTCAACAGTTTTACTTTGAAACTCACTTTAGATTTTAAAGTGAACCTCAATCTGGAACTGAGTTTAGTCTCAATCTATAATTAAGTTTAGCTTTAGTTGGGAGGCTCCACTGATAACGGTCATCAATTTACAGCCAGCCACTAACAAGAGTCCAGATGGTGTGTGTTTTCAGCTTTAAGCTGCTAATGGAAAAGTCTGCGAGGTAAACCCACCTGCCACCCTGCAGGATCCTGGAAGGTGTGGCCATCTGCTACAGTAAGGATTGCTGTGGACGGGTGCTGCTGGGTCTGTTCCTGCCCACAGTGACCCGTGCACCTTAGAACAAAGCGGTACCCACTCCTGTGCCATCCTTAGAGTTGTCCGTACCTTTGAGCACCTTGTTGCGGTCACGGCCTCAATTCGTGTTTGAAGTTCTTCATCTTTTTCCTTCTCCCTCTACTTTAAAAAGCATGATGCCCTTGGCTGTCATCTTTATGGGAAAGATTACACTATGAGGTTGTTCTGTCCTGCCCTATAGGGTCATTATGAGTTGGAATTGACTCAATGGCAATGGGATTTTTAAGAACAGAGAAGATTTCAGGGTTAAGAATATGCTCAATTTCTCAGGTTGGAAAAGGAACTCTTCCAGGCTTCCCATACATAACTTTTTCATTCATAGATTAGTTCAGTTTCAAGTGATTATGGAATTATATAGCCAGAGAAGGACAAGGCTCTTATTTTCCACTGTCTCTAGGGAGAGGGAGCCTTTTAAGTGGCAGTCAGTTAATAAGGAAATAAAAGTTGGCTTTGGTGGATTTATCAAATTTAGTGTATAGTTTGACCTTGCCTACGTGTTACAATGATGCTAGAAACAAAGCTGGTGTGTTATGCTGGGCTGACTAGAGAAATAAATCTAGGGACACTCATACATATGTAAGTCTGATACTAGTCCATAAATCCTTTCAGACTCATACAGCACATGCAATGATGCAAAATGCAGGAAGATCACAGGCCAGTGGATGCAAAATCTTGTGGATCCAGTGACAGTGGAAGCATCTTTAGGACCCTTGCACATCTCGGTGTGGTTCCTTGTGGCTTGTCAACAGAAAGGTGAAAGCAGGGGGTGGGGGGGCAGCCTCCATCAAGCTAGTTATCTCAGTTGCCCTCCAATCAAAGTGCAACCTGATTGGCAGCTAAACTCCACCCACATGTTCCTAAGGGAGCCATGCTGGCACAAAAAACCCTATCACAGCTGGGGTTTGTATGATAGAATTTTGCAAGACCAATGACTTGTTCATTGCAAATAACTTTTCAACAACATTTAACATGGTTATATTGGTGGACTTCTCCAGATGGAATACACTGAAATCAAATTGACTACAAGTTGAAGTTGAAGAGGATTCAAACAAATTCACAGTGCCAAAATATAAGCTTGAGTGTATCCCACCTGAATTTCAAAAACATCTCAAGAATAGATTAGACTCATTGAACACTAATGACAGAAGACCTGGTGAACTCTAGGGTGATATCAAGAACATCATACATGAATAAAGCAAAAAATAATTTAAAAGACAAGAAAGAAAGAAAAGACCAAAGTGATGTTAGAAGAGACTCTGAAAATTGATCTTGAACGTAAAACAGTTAAAGCAAATGGGGAAAAAATGATTAAGCAAAAGCTGGGCAGAAAATCTCAAAGGGCAATTCAGGAACCCAAAGTAGAACATTACGTGGCACGTGCAAAGACTTAGATCTGGACAACCAACAGGAAGGACACACTCAGCATATCTTAACCTGAAAGAACTCAATACAAGATTCCAGCCGTAAGTTGCAGGGTTGAAATATTTTATGGACAAAATATTGAATGATGCAGGAAGCATTAACAGAAGATGGAGAGGATATACCAAGTCACTGTACCAAAAAGAAATACTCAACATTCAACCATTTCAGGAGGTAGCATCTGATTAAAAAAGAAGACCAAGCCGCACTGAAAACATTAGCTAATAACAAAGCTTCAGGCGTTGACTGAATGCTAGTTCAAATGTTTTAACAAACTGGTGCTTCGCTGGAAATATCTAACTCAATACAGCTGCCTAGTCAACTGATTGGAAGCGATCCATATTAACACTGATTCCAAAGAAAGATGATCCAACAGAAGGTGGATATTATAAAAATATATCATTAATATCACACACAAGTAAAGTTTTGCTGAAGATCATCCAACAACAGTTGCAGCAGTACAGAGGAGGATGATAGAACAAGGGATATCATTGTTGAACTCAGATAGATCTTGGAAGAAAGCAGAGAATACTAGAAAGGTATTTACTTGTTTATTGATTATGTAAAGGCATGTGACTGGAGCAGAACCTGTGCATGGACCAAGAGTCAATTGTTAGAGTAAGAGAATATAGGTGAGAGTTTGGAGACAGGCACAGAAGGAGATAAGGTTTAATCAGGAATGAGAAGTATAGAGAGACTTTTTTAAGGTGAGGGAAAACTCTTGGATGAGTTCCCCAATCCAATGAGTTAGGTTAGGGAAGTCGCAGCTTGTCAGTGAGGCGGTGGGAGATATATAGGGCTTGAGCTAGGGAGGTAGAAGTTGACAAGAAGGGAGATTTTTTGCTTGCAGCTGCAGGACCTTGAGTTAGGATGTGATCCTTGGGAAGTGCCTTTGTTGTTTGTCAACCTACTCCCTGGAGTGCTGGAACTGGGGTGGCACAACTTTGGTCTGGAGAGATAAGCTCCTTGGAATGTTGGGGCAGAAGATGCAGACTTCAATAGGTCATTTATCCTCCTGAGAGGCTTGAAATGGGGGCCTTGAAGTTCTATCTTCCTGAGAAGCCGCAGAGGAGATGGGGAATGCCCACTCGGGAGAGGAGATTGGGGGCTGCCTACTCTGGACCTGATCCAAACAACAGGGTGATTGAAAATCAGGAAAAGTGTGTATCAGGGTTTATCCTCTCGCCATACTATTTCAATCTGTATGCTGAGCAAATAATCTGAGACGCTGGACTATATGAAGAAAAACATGGCATCGGGGTTGAGGAAGGTTTATGAGAAACCTTTGCTACGTAGGTGACACAACCTTGCTTGCTGAATGAAGAGGATTTGAAACACTTGCTGATGAA